ATTTAAAGTAAACCATTGTATATATATGATGAACAGGAGGTCCGGGTGCGAGTGGCACTGGTTTTGGAAACTTCAATGAAATCGGACCGTTAGACTCGGGTTTGAAAGTGAGGAACACTTCATGGATTAAATACGCGAATCTGTTATTCATTGACAATCCCGTGGGAACCGGATTTAGTTATGTCGACAGCAGCGCCGCCTATACCAAGAATAATGACGAGATCGCCAAAGATTTGGTCACTTTAATGAAAGATTTTTATAAGAAATCACCAGAATTTGAGGTAAAAATATTTGTAATTAAATTAATTTCAATGTTATAATAATGTTTGGCATTTGGATCCCAGTCGACGCCATTGTATATCTTTTGCGAGTCATACGGCGGTAAAATGACCGTCGGTTTTGCCAAAGAGTTGCATCGGGCCATTCAAAACAAAGAGATCAAAGCCAATTTCAAGGGCATTGCTTTGGGCGACTCCTGGATCTCCCCGATAGACTCGGTGTCCACGTGGGGACAGTATCTCTATACTTTGGTATGATTACCATGATAATTTATAATTCACTTGTAATTTATATTAAAGCACTTTAATTTTAATTAATTGGTTTATAAAGTCATACATTGATAGACACCAAAAGAGTCAAATCGATGCCAAAGCCGAAGAGATCAGAACCTCTCTGAAGAATGGCGAGTATGAAGAGGCGACTAATCAATGGGGAAGTCTTGAGATGTTTGTCGGTTCCCTCGACGGTGGTATTGACTGGTATAACGTACTCTTCGGATCAAATAATCAATTGAGTACCAGATATATGAATCAAGTGAAATCATTTAACAACACATCACTTCAGAGTAGTATTATTAGACATTTGGCCAAATATCATAATGATGATCTGGACGCATTAATGAACGGTCCCATTAAGACTAAACTTAAGTAAGTTATGCCCAATAAAGCAAACAAATATGTTATGAAATTTGTAACACAATATTGTTGTGTAGAATCCCAGCGAATGTCAGATGGAGTGAACAGTCATATACGGTATTCCAGCACTTGTCCGCTGATTTCATGCGCGATGTGGTCAGTGATGTGGACTAGTGTCGGTAAAGTGAATCATGTTTCACGTGATTCACGCTCACTCACGCTCACGGGCCGTGATCGTGAGTGAACGTGAATA